TTTTTTTTTTTTTTTTTTTTTTTTTTTTTTTTTTTTTTTGTGGGGAGAAAAGGTAGACATAATTTGGGATATTTTCTTCAGCAGTAGCCATTGGGAACTATCAATGTTTGCCTCTCCCACAGTACACCCCGTGGTCCTACTTACTAACTGGAGAACACTGGGCAATACGACAACTCTTAACTTTTTACACTTAATAATTTCCTGCCCTCCTAGAAAGACTGAAATGTCATTTTGGGAAAAGAGGGCCAATTAGATTAATAGGCTGATTATGAGGAGAACATAAGACCCTATCTTTAGCTCGAAGCATTTTAAGGTGTCTCTGTGTCCAACTCTCTTTTCGCTGGTGGAGCACCAACATGGATAGAAGGGAAAACTACCAGCTTTTTGTTTTCTAAATTTGATCTAATAATTAACAACTTAAAAAAAATCTTTTTTAATGTTTATTTGTTTAATGTTTATTTGTTTTATTTGTTTCGAACTCACGAACCGTGAGATCATGACTTGAGCCAAAGTCGGACGCTCAACCGAGCCACCCAGGCACCCCAATGATTAAGATCTTTGAGGATCCTTTTTTATTTCAATGTTTATTTATTTTTTTTTGGACAGAGAGAGACAGAGCATGAACGGGGGAGGGGCAGAGAGAGAGGCAGACACAGAATCGGAAACAGGCTCCAGGCTCCGAGCCATCAGCCCAGAGCCCGACGCGGGGCTCGAACTCACGGGCCACGAGATCGTGACCTGGCTGAAGTCGGACGCTTAACCGACTGCGCCACCCAGGCGCCCCGAGGATCCTTTTTTAAAAAAAACAGGGGCGCCTGGGTGGCTCAGCTGGTTGAGCGTCTGACTTCGGCTCAAGTCATGACCTCACGGTTTGTGAGTTCAAGCCCTACATCGGGCTCTGTGCTGACAGCTTGGTGCCTGGAGCCTTCTCGGGATTCTGTGTCTCCTCTCTCTGCCTCTCCCCTGCTTGCACTCTGTCTCTCTCTCAAGAATAAATAAACCTTAAAAATTTTTTTTTTAAATAAAAAAATAAATTAAAAAAATGTTAGAAGCCTGAGGTAAAATGGTGTAATTTTAAGAAGAAATATGCAAAGTAAACTGAACACTTTAAAACCTATGCATTTTAAAATTAAAACAAGACTAAAAACTAAAGTTGGAATATTCTTGTATGTACAGTGCCAAGTGACTTTACCTTTGTTGTTTGTGTTCAGAAACGGTACAAAAATTTTTCATCTTAATATAAGAATGGCATTATATTTAAACTTCCCAAATAGAGAATTCCAAAACCAGAAGCTATTTTAATAATTAAAATTTTCATCACCAAACAGTATTTTTGTTCAGTTGCCTGAAGTTCAGAATTTTTTTCCACCCAGTAAGTGTTTGTGATTTTTTTTCTGTCATGCCAGTTTCAAAGTAGGGATGGGTAACCTAGTAAGGGGGCATTATTGGGATTTCAGGGGATTGGATGAAAACTCTGGCCCTGAAAGGCCCACCTTAGGTATATAACTGCCTGGCTAGCAATCATTTTTATTTCTTGTTCACTTCCTGTTCTGAGCTGTTCATTCAGATGTTTTTTGAAGGTGGAAAGTGGAGGAGTAAGCCTGGACGGCTCCTAAGAGTCTGCTGTACCATGGGGCTGTTTAGGATGTTCCACTACTATGATTTACTACTCTGCGATCTTATTAACCTAGCAGATAGCTCAGTTATTATCTCTCAAGTTCATAGTATGAGAAATACTTGGCTTGCATCTTGCAGAAGGCCATTCATATGATACCACATTATTAAGCTCAAGTTATGGTCACAGGATTCTAAAGTCTCTTTGGTAGCCTTTATTCTATCTGACCTTTCCTTTTTAAACTGGATCAAATGGGAAAATATAGCTGCCTTTTAAGTTTTAAAAATGTTTTGATTTTCTATTTCTCAGTGGGTTCTTCTATCCTTTTCTTCCGCTTTATAATCTTTCATTTCTTAATTTGACCTCGTAGGGAATCAAGTACTGTGGCTCAGTGATTTCTTCCAAGTGTTTGTTATCACTTACTATATACTATTTGTGTCTTAATTTTTTGAGATGTGCTGTAACTTTTCTTCTCTTTGACAAATGTTTCTAGGCTACATAATGAAAACCTGGGTCTTTGGAGTAGATGGAATGATTTCCCAATGTTAAAAATCTGGTGTATCAAACATAATAAACATTTTCTGATCTGTATTTTGTGCTTTTATAAATCTTACGTTTTATTATTTTCTTTGCCTAGAATTGATTTCTAAATGTGAGCTACAGTAACCACTCAATTTTAATCATAATTAAAGGAGGCTAAGGATGTCCTAAAGGCTCTTTTTATGCTATAAAATGACAGAGAAACTTCCACTAATGTGTGGAAGTAATTTAAGTTAGGCTTTTCTTCACATGTCATAAACAAATGGTGAGAGGACTCAAAGACATAAAAATATCCTTGATAGTAGATAAAGGAGTAATATAGCTGTATCTATGTGGGCATGTTATGTTGACATTATTAAAGCCAATTTATAGCAAGTCTGAAAAATTCAGGTATATTTTTCTTGAACTATGTGTATTGGTTCTATCAAGTATCCCAGGAAATAGAGTTTTGTCATTTTGATTCCAGATTGTATATAGCCTTTTGATCCTGTGCTTTGCTCTTTAATAATGGATAGTTATTGAGTAAAAATTGATGATTAAATATTGACATTTTTTATATGCAAAATTGTACCTCAGAAAATACTTTTGACAGAAATAAGTCACAAAAGAAAACATTTGTAATATCAGTGCTAATAATGGGTAGAATTAGATTTAGGAGGAAAGCTGTAAATGCATAAAATGTTCATTAAAATGATTGAATTAGGGGCACCTGGGTGGCTTAGTCACTTGAGCATCTGACTTTTGTTTTTGGCTAGGGTCATGATCCCAGGATTGCGGGATCAAGCCTCATGGCGGCCTCCGTGCTAAACATGGAGACTGCTTAAGACTCTCTCTCTCCCTCTCTCACTGCCCCCTCAATCTCTAAAATAAAAAAAATTAAAAAAAATTTTTTTTAATGTTTGAGAGAGACAGAATGTGAGCGGGGAAGATGTAGAGAGAAAGAGAAGAGACACAGAATCTGAAGCAGGTTTCAGGCTCTGAGCTGTCAGCACAAAGCCTGACACGGGGCCCAAACTCACAACTGAGATCATGACCAGAGCTGAAGTCACAGACACTTAACCAACTGAGTCACCCGGGCTCCTCTAAAAAAAATTTTTTTTAATGATTGAATCAATTAATTTAGTTAAGCTGATTAAAACAATATTTAGTAATTTGAAAAAAACTGGAAATAAATTACATATATAAAAAATTAAGCTAATTTTTTTGATCAAATTGCTTGCTCCAGAAAATAATTTCTCAATGAAAATTCATCAATGTTGGTTATATTCCTAAATGTAGAATTAAAATGACTGTGGGGATCACAGGAAAGTCTCTATTTTCAGTACCCTGACAAAAAGCTATTGATTTGGATTTATAAATGAAATTGCAAAAAAAATTCTGATCAAAATGGTATGATGCCTTTGTCTCAGATTATAAGCCAAATTTATGTGTTTAGTTTTGCTAGTTATTAAAAGGATCCTTTATAACCAAATATTTGTTGTGTGTCCTAGGTATGTTTCTATAAAACCTGATAATCGAAAATTGGCCAATGGAACTAACGTCCTCGGCTTACTAATCGACACTTTATTAATGGAAGGCTTCCATCTAGTCAGTGCTAGAACGCTATCTTCTGAAGACAAAACTGAATGCTATAGCTTTGAAAGGATAAAAAGGCCTGAAGCTTTCACCATGAACAAAACACTGAAACCAGAGACTACCAGCATAGCAGAGCAATCTCAGAAAAAAAAGTGAGATTCTCTATTCTCTTTTAGAGTGAAGAGAATTGCCATTTTCTTGTTTGGAAATTCTGTATTTATGGCATATATGTTAGTCAAATATGTACTCAGCTTAACTTGTGGCCTTGTCTCCTAGCATGCCTTCTCTGGCAACCATACATCAATCGTGTTTAGGCCATACTAACTGCTTGTTCTCTAAGTAACAACATGCACTTGGTCCTTTGGCACATGTTTCTTCTACCTTCAATGTATCTTTCCCTTTCTTTTCTTCATGAACACTTCCACAGCTTTCAAGAGTGCGTTCTGGAATCAGAATGCTTGATTTCTAATCCCAACTCAATCAATTACTAGCTATACAACTTGGGCAAGTTATTTAAGTTGTCTGTGCCTCAACTTCTTTATCACATGGGGATAATATATCTCCCTTGTAGGATATGTGAAAATAAAAGGAAATAACATATTCAACACATCTGGTACCTGGTAGGCACCAAGTCACTGTTGGTGATAGTGATGGTGATGGTGATGAAGAAGAAGAAGAAGAAGAAGAAAAAGGAGAAGGAGAAGGAGGAGGAGGAGGAAGAGGAGGAGGAAGAAGGGAGGGAGGAGGCAGGAGAAGATGATTGGTGGCCCACTTTCAATTGTACCTCTTCTCTGTGGCCTTGTTTCCCTCCTTTCCCAGGCATATTAATCAGTCTTTTCCTCTGTATAGACTTCTAGGCCATCATAAAAACCAATTTTTTTTCCACTTGAATGTGAGCTCAATCACTCAACAATTTTAACACTACTATGTGTAAAGCACTGACAAACATATGGTGAGAGGAATAATAACTTTGTTATTAATTAACACCTACATTTGGTGAAAAGCTTCTGAAAACCTCTACTAACATTTAAAATACACATATACTTTGGTTTGGTGATTCCTTTTGTAGGAATTCCTCATTTATATGTGTCATTTTGCACACGAGGATAAACATCTAGAAGAGGAAACGTTAAATCAAAGAGTATCAAGCACACAGTAGGGTTAAAACCTGCCTGGAAGCAGTTAAGTATCATTTTAAAAAGTACAATTAATTCATTCAAAAACATATATTAAACATTTGTTAGACACCATACTAAGTCATTAAGATTAAAAAATGAGTAAGACAAAAATCCTTATTCTCAGCTCACATTCAAGGGAGAAAGGACATCATTGTAACAGCAAAAGATGAGAAATAAACTCAAAGCTGATCAACAGGGGATGGGTAAATTATGGTTCATACAGTGAAATACTATGTAGTCCTTAAGGATGGGGCAAGAGTTTATAAACTAGGGAAAGAATGTCAAATATTTCTAAGTGGAAAAAAAGCAAGGTATAGAACAACATATAAAGTGGGAAAATACTTCCACTATATATATATATATATACATATACATATGTATATATATATATATATATACAGAGCATGAACGGGAGGGTCAGAGAGAGGGAGACACAGAATCCGAAACAGCCTCCAGGCTCTGAGCTGTCAGCACAGAGCCCGACGCGGGGCTCGAACTCACGGACTGTGAGATCATGACCTGAGCCGAAGTCAGACGCTTAACCGACCGAGCCACCCAGGTGCCCCCATGCATGGAATTTTCAACAAAGATATGGGTGTTAGATGAGTGTTAGGGGGACTATTATGGCAAAGTATGGCTTATTATCTTATACTGATACAAATGTTACTTTACCACCTTTCCTGTGAAGGCCCTCCACTTAGTAAAGAGTTGGCATCCAGAAACTTCTAGTAATTACAAATTTGTGTACTAGGTTGTAGGGAAGAAATACATATTTTTAAAATTTTCTAACAGTACTTCAAAGGTTATGTATAATGTAGAAGTGCAAAATACTTCAAGATTAGTAATGTCAAGGTTAGTATTTGAAAGTAATGACCCAAATAAGAGAAAAAGCCTTATGAATAAGTGTTTTGTTTTTGGTGGCAGTTATCCCCTCTTTTCTGCAGAAAAGCCAATTTAGTTGTTTTAGCATGTCAAGTTAATTTTCGGGATGATGTGTTTGCTTCCCTTGCTAGTATCATATTCTAGGACACACTAAGTTTTTGACATTTATGTGATTTAACTTGTTGGCTATAGTTGACATGGTTATATATGCAACACTGTTCAACACTGCTTTACTGATAAGATTATTAAAAACTGATAACTGGTTAAAAACATTAAAACAAAAAATATTGTAACAGGTTGGCAAATAGTAAGACAGGAAATGTTAAAACTACTGTTTAGTATGTTCTTAGTCATTCATATTTGCAGGAAACTACTTTGAGTTGAGAAATAAAATGTGCTAATAGAAACATGTTACCTATGGAGATATATATGACATTTGTTCCTTCATTCCTTCATTCAATAAATCTTTAGTGACATCTACTGTGTGCCAAATACTATTTTAGGCATTGGAGATACTGCAGAGAAATAATGCCTTCCCTCCTAGAACTTTTTACAAAAACAATTCATAATATTGACAAATGGTTTAATTAGAAAGACAAGCTTTTTATTAGTTTCTCAAAAGTTATGAGTTCACAATGCAGAGGTTTGTGGAAGGAGAAAGATTACCACAATTAAAAATATATATATTATTAAGGAAAGTGTAGTTTCAGAGTAGACTGAGTTTCTTATTTTAGTAAATACTTTAGAGATTATCTCATCTGGAGGCACATCTGTCAAGATCATCTCAGTAAGCCTCTCGTATTCACTCTAAAATAGAGTGGGACACTATCACTGGGATATCAAGACATGCAAAACATTGAGTCTTGTTTCAGAAAGGGGGACAAGGCAACTGTAGTTTGAAGAAAACAGGGATATATCAGATGCAATGCAAATTAAAAACTCTTGCCTGCTTTAGAAAAAAAAAAAGCTTCAACATTTTCATATGGGTACACCACTTAACTCTTAACTTCTGGACTGGATGAATTTGTCAGTTTTATTTAAAAAATTTTTTAACGTTTACTTATTTTGAGAGAGCACGAACGGGGGAGGGGCAGAGAGAGAAGGGGACAGAGGATCTGAAGCAGGCTCTGCGTTGACAGCAGAGAGCCTGATGCAGGGCTTGAGCTCACACACCGTTAAGATCATGACCTGAGCCAAAGTCAGCTGCTCAACCAACTGAGCCACCCAGGCCATTTTAAATTGTAAGAAAATAATGGCAGAAGCTGGTCTTGGCCAACCATGCTGAAAACCTTGTTCTATTAAATCATATACACCTATCAATCCATCTCATATATACAAAGATGAATCATCACAATGACACATTAAGGTCTGTCATTCTTTTTTTTTTTTTAATGTTTATTGTTTATTTTTGAGAAGGTGGGGAGGGGCAGAGAGAGAGGGACACACAGAAATCGAATAGGCTCTGGGGGCTCGAACGCAGGGCTTGAACTCACAAACGGGGAGATCGTGACTTGAGCTGAAGTTGAATGCTTAATCAACTGAGCCATCCAGGTGCCCCAAGGTCTGTCATTCTTAATGACCAGTACCACCAGTAGTTGGGCCTTCCCTGTTCTCCCGATTCTGTTATGTGTGTTTTATCTTTCCACCCACAGTTTTATTTCTGACAAGGCACTAAAGAGCTTATTCTTGAAACTCAGTAATTTGCCTTATAAGTGATTGGAAGTTGTCCCTAAAAAAATTTTCTGAAGAGTAAAATGTTGAATTTTACTCTTGAATTTAATATACAAGTCATAACTATAAAGAGTTCTTAGGTATGGTAAAATTGGAATTAATTTGGGCTGCTTTGAAAATATATCTGAAATCAGGAGCCCCAAATAACATAAAATGGTCATGGGAAAGGAGCTAGAGAAATAATATATGGTTTAGGGAATCATAAGCTATTTCTAATTTGTCTTATATATTGTTTACATCTGACAAACTTCAGTTTTGCTTTATAAGTTTTTGTACTGGTTCTCTATCACAAATAATAGAAATAGTCACATCACCAGAAACCTTGCTGGGATGACAAAATATTTATTAGAGCACTCCAAATCTCCCATATTCTACTGTTATTTTTCCTCTGTGCAGGGGAAGTTGACTCTGTTAACAGTAAGTTTAGCAATGCAGACGAGCCACTATGAGGAAATTTTTAAAAATAAATTTAGGACATTTTGTTACTTTGAGAGAGCCAAAGAACTCATGGAAGAGAACAATGTGACATCAAACTTAGTATTTCAAACAAAGTTCAAGAAATAAAGAGTTAATGTGAAAACATATTACTAAAATACTTAGATTTCTGGAATACCAATGACCTAGTAAAAGCCATCATTACTTACCAGCTTTGCCACAGAACTGCACTTCAAGAATTATTAGGCCTTCCAGGCGCCTGGGTGGCTCAGTTGGTTTAAGCGTCCAATTCTTGATTTCGGCCCAGGTCATGATCTCACGGTTTGTTGAGTTTGAGCCCCACATCAGCCCAGAGCCTGCTTGGGATTCTCTCTCTCCCTTTCTCTCTGCCCCTCCCAGGCTCATGCTTGCGCTCTCTCTCTCTGTCTCAAAATAAATAAATAAACTTAAAAAAGAAAAGAATTATAAGGCCTATCAGACCTATTAGAGATGAAAATTTATGTAAAAATTTCACAAAAAATTCATTATATCATAATTATTAAGCTTAGAAAATAAAATGCCTTAATATTTATCTAAACTATGAGATCCAACTACAAAAATCTTTTAAAGGATAAAAAGTTAACACCTTACATGGCACAGAATAAAAGAGCAACAAACATTCAGCAAAATAAATAGGACTCTGCTTCCCAAACTAAAATGTGCTTAAGACATGTCTAATTATACAAACTTCTAGGTAGGCAGCATTCTGCACCTTCAAATTTCACACCAACACCTCAAATCCAGAATCATTGTTTTAAATGATTATCAGTGGAGTAGAACATACCCTAAACCAAGTGTTTCTATTTCACGTTACTCTCCATTATTTCTCACTCTGGTAAGCATCTGAATTTCTTTGGGTTCCCAACTTGGAAGCCAAATAGGAGAGATCTGTCTTGGTCTCCTTGTAATAAGAGACCCCAAGAAAGTCAGGCTGCAATGTCTGAGCTTCCATGAAATCTTTTAAGATGAGGAATGGGATTGTGTTTAATACTGATCTTTATATTCCCCCACAGTACTGGATGTCTAATGGTCTCAACTGAACTGAATTGAAAAATTTAGAACACTACAGTCTCGGTGAATAGGCACTTGGAAAAACAAGAATTATGGTAGATCAAAGATGGATGATACTCTATGTACAGAGTCTGAAAGAAGTGATTTAAGCTAAAGACTACAGAAAAAAAAATCCCATGGTGTTTTTCCATTAGAAGTTTACTTGGGTAATCACATACCAAGTGTGACGAAAATATTAGATGTCTATAGGAATACTAACTAGTTGAAAGTTACAGAAAATTACACATTTAATCAGAGTAAAATAGCCCAGCCAAAGTTGGAATATAGTATATAATTTGCTAATAAAAATGCAATGCTACAAGAATGCTTAGTAATTAAACAAATGTTAAGGGAATACAAATTCAGAATGAACTTTACATGACTATAACTGATATTAAATCTTGACTTACCTCCACAATTTAGGAGTCATAAAAAGATAGAAGTTATCAGACCAGGCATATAAGTCAGATGTAACTAGGACAGAAATACAGAAAAAAATGTTAGCAGTTCTGGATAACCTGATTTGAAGTCATAGGTTCACTGAACTTGGCTTAATCAAACAGTTTAAGGATTGAGTATGGTCCAAAAGATGTGGTATATCCAGAAGACATATTAGTGAGTGTTTTAAATGCTATTTTGGAAGCACAGATTGACATTTTAGGTTTCCTTACATATCATTAAAATGGAATAGTATATTAAAATATCAATTCAAGGTGTAGAATGATATGGGATTTCTGTCTGATGAAGGTGGCAGTTTTCCACAGCAAGTAGTCACTAGGTAAATAGAGCAAGATACTTGGACATTCTAAATAGGAATCCTACAAAACAACGTTTAGCTCCTAGAAAACCAAAATATTTCTTTCAATGAAATTCTGGCCCTGCCCCTTTGCTCACTTTTTAAATTCCTGGCTAAAATTTATTGAATCCCCGTTTGAATTTTTTGGACTAACACTTTTTTTTTCAGAAGCAAGCCTAATTTAGGGTGAGAAGGAGAAAGTCACAGCTTCTTAGAACCTTCATTTCTGCTTAACAGTATTTCTCCATCAAACACAAGTATTCATATAAGGAATCTCAATTATCTAAACCTATTTTTTACCATCTTCTGGAATCTCCTGTTATATCTCCTTTGAAATGCCACAGTCGTACATTTGGAAGATTTGGCTTCCTGGTTTTCAAATTTTTGTTTATTATTACAGCTCTTCAGCCAGCATTGCAGGTCTTTGTGCTGTACTGTTTCTTGAAACTGGAGACCAGCACATTTCCCACAATTCAATTACCTGCCTTTCCATTTGAGAAATTAAAGCCATGTCAATTTTATATAAAGTTTTAACTGGTTGAATCATGTGAACTTTAAGTTCTCAATTTCATTCCCTCAATCTAATATGGGGAAAGGTCTTTGTTTTATTAATAGACACGAAGATAAGTTCAAGAATATTAACACATATTAGTCATTGACTCTTACAACTAATATAAGTATAGGGATTTTCTTACAGGTGTAAGCTTGAGACATGACATTCTGAGGAAAATAGTTTTTTATTTGGAAATGTTTATTTAAGATTATATACCTAATTAATTTATATAAATTTATGTTACATATTTGCTTTTAAAAGAAAGTCTATTGTCCTTAATAGTTTTTGTTAGCTTGTCTATTCTTATCAGCTTTATGAGGATAACTGACATTTTTACCTCTCTAGCCTTTTACATAGAATTCTCCTTCTGTATATTCAGTGATCTTTAAAGGATTTCAAATGGAATGCCTAGATTTCTTAAATGCAATATTACAAAAATAGGATACAACATCTTTCTCACACTAGCTTCTCTTAACCATCCTCTTGCAGTGATATCACTGTTTCCTTCCAGTACAGAAAATATATAATTTTGACAACTCCCTTTTTATCCAACTCATCATGATGTTCTACGATTTTTTTTAAAAAATATCTTCAATTTATTATTTCATCTCCATTCTCAATGACATTATTTTGTTCAGGTTTTCTTTACTCCTCGATTACTACAATGGTCACATGCCCAGTTTCTTTTTCACCATACTTTGTATCTTAGAATCCTTCTCTATACAGCCTGCTGCGCCGCTCCCCCCTCCCCTGTCTGTCTGTCTGTCTGTCTGTCTATCTATCTATCTATCTATCTATGGTATTGCTAGATTTAATTTCCAAAAATTCTATTACTTTGTCAACTTCCGTTATTTTGTTTCAAGAGGCCATATGGCCTGCCTATTCCATGCTATATCAAGACTAAAGTTCTACAGGGCACCTGGGTGGCTCAGTCAGTTAAACATCCGACTTCAGTTCAGGTCATGATCTCATGGTTGGTGAGTTTGAGCCCCGTGCCGGGCTCTGTGCTGACAGCTCAGAGCCTGGAGCCTGCTGTGGATTCTGTGTCTCCCTCTCTCTGTGCCTCTCCCCAGCTGTGCTCTGTCATCTCTCTCTCTCTCAAAAGATAAACATTGAAAAAAAAAAAAAAAGACTGAAGTTCTCAAGCTTGTTTTCCAGGCAAGCCCCAATTACTTAGTTTTAACCCAGTTATCCAAATTCATGTAACCTTTGCCTCAGGTCTTAGAGCAAAGGTCCCAAGTTTACTTTGTGGGGAATACTGTATTTTATTTTGCCTTAAATTCTCATCCACAAGCCAGGAAAGTCCACTGTTTAACAGTTCAGTGCATCTTAATTTACAGCATACAGGCCACAAATTACAAAATGAAGACCTTTTTTTATTGAGTCAGCAGAGACAACCAATTCCCCTGTAATTCCCCAAATTACTTACAGTTTTGTGATGAGAGGATCATCTCGTGTGGCATTTATTGCCCTTTATTAGAGTGAGCTGTTGTCAGGCAGTCTGCTCTACATAGGACAATGTCTGTTTTCTGCTTCCATTCTCAGTCCTTTCTCCACATGATCCAGGTACAGATGGAAGAGTCAGTTCGCACCTTTTGGAGGGGACGTAGTAGTGCTATCAAAATACATGCCTAGAAAACAGGTCATAAAGAAAATCATTACAAAGGGGAAACTGCTTTGCCATATAAACCATTATTTAATTGCTGGTTGAAATCCTGACTTTTGGTTAAATGTAAAATATAACAAGTCAACCACTCTCAAAGCCAACCAAACCCAATAGTAACAACAGATGTTTTAAAAAATGTAATTTATATACAGGTTCTGAAAAACAAACATAAATGTCATATAGATTTTATATAAAAGCTCTAAGGGTACATAAAATAAATCCTTATGACTTAAATGTCCTAGCAGAAAACAAATGCTACATATTTGTGTCACAATTTTGTCTTTTTAGATTTCTAAAAGCTTTCTCTGGGGTGCCTGGCTGGCTCAGTCGGTAGAGCATGTGACTCTTGATCTTGGGGTCTCAGTTCAAGCTGCACAATGGGTGTAGAGCTTACTTTAAAAAAAACTTTCTTTGGTGTGACTTGCATAGTCTCTTATACAATAGTCCAAGAAAATTTGTTAGAAAACCAATTTCATTCAACAAGGTAGCTCCAGTAAGCAGAGGGATTCAGAAGCATACCATTAACTTTATTAAAAATCTTATTTATTCATTTTGAGACGGAGCAGGGAAGGGGCAGAGAGAGAGAGAGAGAGAGAGAGAGAGAGAGAGAATCCCAAGTAGGCTCCGAAGTGTCAGCGTGGAGCCTGATGTGGGTCTCAAACCCACGAAATGCGAGATTATGACCTGAGCAGAAACGAAGAGTCAGATACTTAACCGACTGAGCCACCCAGGTGCCCCAGTAGCATACCATTAACTTTAGAGATGTATAAAGAACTTCAACAATGCTCAGTACATTTGTTTTTTATGATTATGGTAATGGTGTTTCTTAAAAAGTATTTTTTAACGTAAGTACTTTTCATTCTATCATCTTCCATCTCCTCAGATGGAAGGCTGACAAAAAAATAGGTAAATTATACTTCATTGAAAAGTTTAGGATTATCAGTTGGATTACTCATGGCCCTCCCAAAGGGATATTGAAATTTCACAGGCCTTCTAACTGTTCACAAACCTACCCACAGGTTTTGACTTAAAAAAATTTTTTTTTAATGCTTATTTTATTTTTGAGAGCGAGAGAGAGACTGAGCATGAGTAGGGGAGAGGCAGAGAGAGAGATGGAGACACAGAATCCGAAGCAGGTTCCAGGTTCCAAGCCATCAGCAAAGAGCCAGACGCGGGGCTCGAACTCAAGAATCGTGAGATCATGACCTAGGCTGAAGTCGGACGCCCAACCAACTGAGCCACCCAGGCACCCCTGAAATTTTTCGTTAAAGGACATTTTAAGATAAATAAGACTTGAGACATGAATGTTAATAGGTAGTAGAGAATCAAAGAAGCCCTATAAAAGTAGTAAAAGGTGGAAAAATTCTTAAATTATCAGAAAAGAGCCCGGGCATTTCTGTATTTATCTAGCTGGTATTCAGCCTTTACAGAAAACATTTACCATAAAGGTATTATTGATTTTCAGGAATTAATTACCATTTAATTGCTAAGCACCCACTCTGTTAAGCTTGCAGAGTATATAATAAAGAGTAAGATAATCCCTGTCCATAAGGCAGGGTATATTAATTGTTCTAAGCCATGTATATGAGCTCAAAAGAGAGAATTTCTGGGTGAGAAGGAAAAATGAACTGGGAAAATTTAATGCAAGAGGTAGATAGCCTAGGAGGATTTAGACAGGTGAAGATGAGGGAAAGGACATTCTAAGAGTAAATAACTTGAGCTAAGACTTAGATGCAAATTAGAGAGGGGTTTGGAAAAGGAGTATTTCTATTTGGCATAACCACATTACTTTGGTATTAATTCACCATCATTCCCATAGTGTTAAGATCAATGTTATGGAGAACAAAAAATATGCCTGATAGAATTTTGGCTATGCAACCCTTTCCTCTCAAGATTTCTCACTTGAGGGGTGCCTGTGTGGTTCAATCAATTAAGCATCCAACTCTTGGTTTCAGCTCAGGTCATGATCTCACAGTTTGTGAGTATGAGTGCCTGGTTGGGCTTGGCACTGACAGTGTGGAGCCTGCTTGGGATTTTCTGTCTCCCTCTCTCTGCCTCTCCCCTGCTCACACTCTCTCTCAAAATACATTTTTTAAAAAAGTGTCATGTCCGAGCAAGTACAGCAACTGTTATATGCTATTAAGTAAACAATGTTAGGTTCAGTGTTGAGAACTTCATATACAAAATTCAATTCCGATAAAAACATAAAAACACAAATTATTAAAAAAAGATTTCTCACTTGATTTGCTGAGCTAAAATCCATAGATTGCCTAATATTTAGGGTAATAAACTTGTCTGATATAATCCTAGATTTCCTTCCCTTTTTTTTTTCTTCAACTGTTTTTTGGCTCTCAAAAGGGTTGCAGGCAATGCAAATCCTCGTTTTCTTCTATTAGAAATTAGGGCCCCTTAAGCAAAGCAAAGCAATCTCAAATATGGTTACATTCATTTCCCTATTCCTCTATTTTCAATCTAGTGTATCTGTTTTACTCCTTCCAACTTGATACTTTGATTCATGTTTCCTGTACTTGAAAGCCTCCAATATCTTCATTTCCAAGAATTAATTCTACCTATTCTTCTTTAAGCCCAGCTCACCTTCCACCTCCCCTAAGAAGTCTTTTTTGGTGAGTCTAAGTCTACATTTTCTTTGATCTTCTACTAAACTTCAAGTCCACAAGGCAAAATTTACTCTCCACTATTTTCTAGCTGTTTCTTGTATGTTAGTATATTTCTATTATGGCTAAAAGTTCTTTGCTGACAGTGACCACCTTTTTGGACTATAGTAAGTACTAGACATAGAATAGGCCCTTAAAGCTCACTTGAAAAATGCAAAGAAAACTTAAAAAAAATTTTTTTAAGTAAACTGTATGTCACACATGGGGTTTGAACTCATGACTCTGAGACCAACATTTGCATGCTGTATTGACTGAGCCAGCCAGGCATCCCAAATTGTGAAAGAATTTTATAGTAGTTTTTAAATAACCATCTTTGATAACATAAAATGATATTCACTCTTGTTATAGAATTTGAGGCCTCAAATTACAACCAACTCAGATTTTCACACCGTTCAAAATAAATTTGCATTATGAATAAACTGTCCTACTCTATCACATGTACATAACATAACCATGATGAAAACCAGTGGCCATTTGTGATAATCCAATTCCTTCTGATCCAATTTCTACAAGTAACTGGCCTTGTTTACAACCAACAGATTATAACTGAGTGTTTTGTAACTCAAATTCTTTAGAGTGTACATCTTTAAGTGTATTATCAAATCATGAATACACTAATGTTCAGCTTGAAATAAAGTGAAACTTTGCTTAAAGGAAATTGGAATTCTTCAAATTAAATCCTTAATCTGAATGAGTCTCTTGTGCTCTACCTCAAGAAAAAAATTATAATCAAATACACTTTGGGTTATATGAAACACATTGAACACAATTCTTAAAATTTCTATACCTATAATTACATATTACTTTATACTACTTGATAGTAAGATTCCTTACTCATAAAGTTTGGTGATATTCAGCATGCTTTGAGACAAGACAATATACTGACATACTGTAATTTTTAGGTTTTAGGAAATACTCAAAAGTTTAGGATTACTATAAACTTCAGTTAACTAAATCATCTAGTACTCCATACTGTTCCATTAATTCAATTAAATCCTTTATGTGATAAACTTAAAACAATTATTTTTTTTATGTAGGGGGGGGTCAGATAGGGGCAGAGAGAGACAATTCCAAGAAAGCTCTGTGCTGTCAGTGCAGAGCCTAACATGGGGCTCTACCTCATGACTGTGAGATCAGGACTTGAGCTGAAGTCAAGCTGGATGCTTAACCGACTGAGCTGCCTAGGGATCCCCCAAATTTGATTTTTTTCCAAAATTTTATTATTTTAAATTTACAAGTGTTTCTCCTTCTCTAGGTTCCAGTTTTTTTTTTTTCTCTCTCTCTCTCTCTCTCTCTTTTTTTGACTGTGTCTCTTACAGACAAGGTGTTGGTCTGACAAAGGGTAGGAAAAATAAATCTTTTTTCTATAATGGCAAAGTTAAACATGTAATTTCCAAAATTCTAAGGTGATGTTAAAGTCTCCCATAAATCTACAAGATTATTCAACTTTTTCCTTTGCTTTTGTAATATGTCAGTATAAAGAATTATTTGCAGGGTGCCTGGGTGGCTCAGTCAGGTAAGCCTCTGACTTTGGCTCAGGTCACGATCTTGTGGTTCGTGAGTTCAAGTGCCCCATTGGGCTCTCTGCTGTCAGTGCAGAGCCAGCTTCAGACCCTCTTTCTCTCTCTGCCCCTCCTCCGCTCACATGCACTCTCTCTCTCAAAAATAAATAAATAAGCATTTTAAAAAAAGAAGTATTTGCAAAATGGATATATTGGAGGCTTTGTTTAGGGTTTTAAAAATTTGGGACAAGACAGAGACAAATTCAATCTTTTAAATTTTAAACTGAGGTTTGGAGAGAGATAGCAACTTGCTTAAGGTCACACAACTAATCGCAGAGCCAATTTTAAGTATTTGAGTATCATCACACTTAACTTCTCTAAGTACAGTTTAAGCTTCTGTTTACATTGTCATTCCTCTGGCAAAGTAACAACCTACCTAAACACTTCTTTAGCCTAATGTTCACAAATATGAATTTATTATACTGCATTATAACCTTTTGTTCTCCTCCATTTCATGGTCATCTAAACCAGTGAGAAACCGTTAGCTTCTTTTACATGCTCAACTGGTATCTTAATAAAATGGCATCTTGGGGCGCCTGCTCACACTGTTTCTCTATCTCAAAAAAAAAAAAAAAAAGAGGCATCTTGAGGACAGTGAAGAGAATGGTATCAGAGGCAAGTGCCTTGAACAAAGTGACTTGTTGGATGAATGAATAGCTGTACACACATTACTGAATGAGAATGAAGTGATGGAAGTTTCATTGTCTGAGACCTTAAAAGGACAAAAC